ATACTGTGATTCAGATTTAAATATCTATTGCTATATATCTACATCATATTTCTATTTCACATGTCATGTGACCAGTGGCGGCTGGTGTTAAAAAAACTGAGGGGGGCGCACACAAACAAACAAATGAAAAACAAACAAAACAAATCTTAAAAAATAGCACTATTTGAACATGAATTTTGCCCTCCTTTCCTTCTGCCCTGCAAATTTCTCAATTACATTCTTGTTAACGTCAGTCATCTCTGTGACTAGTCTTTTCTCCATTGACAACATGGCCAATGCATTCAGCCTGTCCTGCGTCATTGAGTTTCTCAGAAAAGTCTTGATTCTTTTCAGAGTTGAAAAGCACCTTTCAGCTTCTGCTGTGGTCATGGGTGTGGTGATGAGGATCTTCAAGAGCGTGACAGTTTCTGAAAAGACTTCTTCTAGATTGTTTTCCAGAAACAGCTGGAGTAGGCCCACAGCACCACAACAGGCTTTGAACTCTTCCTTGCTGTAGATGAGAGTAAGCTCTGTCTTCAGCTTACCTCGATTGAGCACTGGATAGGCTTTTAAGGTGTTGCTCAGTGCATCTTCAGGAAATGCTGTGTTGTATTGTTCAAATCTGTCCCCCTGCAGGAGTGTGGCACTAACAAGGTGGTTTGTGAAAGAAAAGCGCTCCCTGGTGTGTCCCAGTATGATATCACAGACCTTAAGAGAGAAGGACAAACATGAAGATTATGATTTTATAATCACATTTTTCATTCTAAATATGAAATGTTATTTTGTCCTTTCTATTAAGTCATAGAAAGAAGGAACACATTTTATTTATAAACTTACTGATTTTAATAACATTTGCTGCCATTTTTTAAGGCTGTGTTATGAAATGTGTTACAGCATTTTTGTGGGACAAGATTATACAAAATTCAGTAACCAAATGTTTTATTCCCCATTACCCATAAACTTCAGTACAACTTAAATAATAAAATATCTTGCTGACAAACATTACATCAACATACCTACACAGCATAGACACAACTAAAGGTATTTCTAACTACAACGCACATCTTCCTAATATATTAAATAACACTACTATAAACCAGTGTAACAGTGATTTTCCACAACAACTCACCTCTGCAGCAATCCTTTCATGGTCTTGTACACCGAGTGTCTGACGCTTCTTCACTGGCTGATTACTACCTACGCTGCTTTGTCCAACCATGGAGTGGAGAGAATTTCTGCCAAAGAGAAATACTTACAATATTAATGAAGAAGAAGAAAAAGAAAAATCAGCTATTTAAACAATTACCTGATCTTTTGAATGTCCTGCTGGAACTGTTGGATGCTCTCCTGGATACAGACTGAATCTATGACCTTCTTCTGGAGTTTGGCATAGAGAAGGTCCACATGAGGCATGATATGGTGGAAAAGTTGCAGAAAGAACTTAAAATCCTGATCCTCCAGTAGCATGGCAAATGCTCCAGCCTCTCTGACTGTAATGGGGTCAAAGTCACCAGTCTTGTATGCTTTCGAAACAGCGGATGAGGTCCTCTCTGTGCTCAAACACAGTATTGATGGCACGGCTGTGAAAGTTCCATCTGACATTGCTGGATGCTGGTAGTCTGTGG